ATGGAAGTAATCCCAACAATTATGAAACAGGAGATTCCTCGAAACCCAATTTTTCTTCGTATATAAAACTTTTAACTTGTTTATATTCGAACGGTCCAGATGTGTACCTTTAGCGTGTTTGGTGGGGCGTTATCACGCCTGCTTGTTTGCTTCGTTTCCCTCTTTATTTGCCGGAATTGCTAATCCGACTTGGACCTTCCAGCTTACAAATCACTCCATCCAACTCCGAATATGCCATCTCCCCTCGAAGACCTGTTTCTTATCTTACTGATTGAATGATTTCACTCTGAGGCCAATTTCCTAATTCCTTCTACCCTCCTTTTCAAACGAAAGTAAATGTGCGCCAGCATGATTTTACTCTGTGTTGCCAGAGTACCTTCATCACCTTAAACGAAATAGGGTGAACACAGCCCGCATAGCTGATTTACTGACAGTCTCGAAAACCTACTCAAAACAAAAAATAAGTAATGTCGTCGATTGTTATCACAAACATAAGTTTGCATCATTGACTATCGCACCACAGAATGTGATAAGGAAAAAGCCTGGTCTTCCTTGAAATGCACATCTGCCCTGTGACCCTCTAGGTATTCCTGCCAGTATGACAAAAGTCAAACAACCTCTATACAACGAAAGGAGACCGCGACCATAGTTGAGGCCATATACTATCTTGTTCTTCATATCTTCTATTAAATATTGCATTATTTCGGATTCTGTTGGGGCCTATCAACAAAGTCTCTCATCACACGTCTTCTAGTGGACTGGCTACTATTTTGAAATTGTTGAGCTTACTTACAGTTCGAGTGAAAGTGTTGGGTGAAGAGATTCGAAGGTCGGTTTCGCCGTCGTCTTCTGGTGGAACCGACCTACGAATCTCTTCACCCAACACTTTTCCTCGAAATGGAAGTAAGTTCAACAATTATGAAACAAGAGAGTCCTCGAAACCCAACTTTTCTTCGCATACTATTTCGAATTCCATTTTCTACTTACCTCTTTAAATGACCCCATACATATATACACACACTCATGCATTCGCATCTGCCTACAAACTCACACAAACGCCACATCATCATTGTTCAGAGAAGAGATGTCCGCGCTGTACCGGCTGGCAAAGATTCAGCACGACCTCCGGACGAATCGGCAAGCTTCCGACAATCGAGCGCTAGTCTCTGAGGCACAGGTGGCGGCTGCGCGTACACTCACTCGATCTATCCTCGCTCCAGATTCGGCAAGTAGTCGGTTTCCAAGCAAACATCATCGTCTGCGTCTTGGCCGTCGTCTCCCGTCCTCCATCCTTCTCAACACGGCCCATCTTCTCCGCCACCATTCCAGCCGCCATCTTCGTCATCTCAAGCACAATCGTGTCGAGGCTCCTCCTCGTTGCCTCGAAGCTGGACTCATCTCGTCTCTCGCAGCGTTTTCGTCCTCTTCGTCTATTGCCAGCTCTATGTCTTCTCAACAGGCCGGAAAGACCATTGGCTCCACCAAAGTCACTCTTTCCTGTGCCTTGCCGCATCAGTTTACGAGAACACGGCGCTGCCGAGACCTGCGTAGGAGTCAGCGCCGACGGAGAAGCCAGAAGTTGCTATCTGATGAATTGATCTTGGCGCCGTCAGCTGCCTTGGTACTGGAGTCACCGCTGGAGAAGCGAAAGCAGGCCTATGAATATGCTCCAGGACGTCAGGAGAGTCTTAAACTTCCTTGTAAGTAAACTACTTTGTAGATACATGAAGTAAAGCTAGTTTCCTAGGCGTCATTTGACACATGAATGGGGCTAAACTATCCATTTCAAGCGAAAATTTGGTTGGAAAGGACCCGTTAATTGGCCTCATCGAAAACTGAAAAGTGATTGCCTTTAATCTAGATGGCATTTCTTTGTGCAAAAAGCTTCTTGGCTCACCGTCCTCTGCAAAAGTGAGTAAAGGAAATAAATAGGTTTGCAGCAGATTGCCTCTTCTATTTTTTGGGTATATTCACGCGTTCTTTCATAAACGGTTGCTTCCCCCTCTGGTAATGTCTATCAATTGATAGGTGAGAGCTCAGGGCGAATTCATCGTTTCGCAGGACGATGATCCAAGGATTTTTAGGCACAATCCAGCCTTCTCCATCGCAAGGCAATCCTTATCCGGTTTCATGTGAAACCAATTCACGAAGCTTGTCCAAGCAACATGGACTTCGAACTTCAAAGTCGAGTCACATTAGCCAAATGGTATACCCGGCTTGGTTTTCTCGCATCCAACTCGATAAATTTACCAGTCCTGTTAGTATAAATGACCCATCCATATCTATTAACTGACTCATTTTAGCTTAATAAGAGCTAGAGTTTTTCCTCTTGGCAATAAAACTGTACACGAATTTTCCAAGCATATTCACATACCGTGCATCGGCAAAAGCGTTTATAAGTAGACTGTTCTGGAGAGACAATTTCGCCTTAGGGACCTGTGTGTTTATTCATATAATATTCACAAGAGAGTATAAAAGGAGGTTCCGGTTGCAGGTCCAATGGCGGCACACATTACTGACACACATTTCAGCAAAACATTTGTATTGCCAATCGCCAAGACTGATCCTCTGCATTGACCTCTATTAAATCTAGAAGTCTCCTCAAAGTTTATGTATTTCAGGAGCTATGACATGCACATTGCCATGTAAATGCATCCAAAACCTTTTATTCTATGCCTTGCAATAAAGACCACCACTCATCGCTTGATCTTGTGTGTGTCCTGCTTAGTTTTGCCAACGACATCTTCTTACCTGCTACCGTAGAGAGTAGAAGACGTGCATTATTGGGAGAATTTATTTATAAATCAGGCACTGGTTAGTAAATATGACGAAAAGCTGGCGACTAAATAGTTCTTTAACCAGAAGAGGGAGGTGCCACAGTAGTGATGGACAGAAAAGAATAAATAGGGAAAATGTAAACTTCTCTCACAGAGAGAACAACTAATCAGCTATTACCCGAAGATCCAACAGCTAAAATCAAGAATACGCTGCATGAAATGATAAAGAAAATCGACAAATGAACAAGAGATTTTATTACAAAAGAATATGAAGAAAAGTTTGGTTTCGATGAATCTCTTGTTTCATAATTGTTGAGCTTACTTCCATTTTTAGTGGAAGTGTCGAGGGAAGAGATTCGAAGGTTGGTTCCACCAGAAGACGACGGCGAATTCCTCTTGACCAGCTGTC